TTCAGCAGCATACGACAGGCTGGCGGTCAACCAGACGATGAACAGAGGAGACGATGGGTTACTTGTGTGTTATTTCCCGCGTTTGGAGCGGAAAGTGGTGATAAGACCCTGGCCACATGGCGGTTGAGTATGACACCAGCCAGTTGACTCGATTCTGTTCTGTCTACCCTCTCACCTACAAACACGCTCTAGCCCCACAGCAGAAGCACTAGACGTCAATCTAGCTTCAATGGCCCGGCTCACAAGCCACGAATTTGCGCTCTTCGCCCCAGGCGTACAGCTTGGCGTGCCTCTCTACAGGCATCTCCTCACACCCGACCAGGCGGACCGCTGGGATGTGGGACGCGAAGGATCGCGAACGGAGCCCCATCTTGCGACGCAGGGTTAAGGGCTGTCGGGTCGTCTTGCCAATTAATAGGGGTAGTGCCACCAATCTGGCCATATCAGTTGTGCGCCATGCACATCCAGTCCTGTTTACCTGCGGCCGACTTCTCAGGAGTGCGCATGCAGGCCACCAGGGTAAGAAGGGCTATAGGCTGCATGTGACTTCTTACTACTTGGTAAAGAGGACGTCGCAGTTCGCTCTTCTACCTTTGCCACTTGCGCTCAAAGGCATGACTCACTCTGGCTGAGGTCAATACAACTCTTTGCTTGTGACGAAGGCCACCAGGGCGGAGCCCGGATCGCGATGAACACTGATGCGCGTATCGCAAGCTGGGAGTGTCGATCCCCAGTGGCGCTTTTTGCTTGCTTCTCGTGATGCTCAGGTTCGGGCGCAAAATAGCGAGCGTGGCCTCGGACCTCCTGATGAGAGAGGGCGAGTGAGTGAAGGAAGAGTCAAGGCCACAAGCACATAAGGCGTCATCAGACAGCGCAGATTGTGTGTCTCACGCGGCATGCCGCCAGAAGCATCGGCAAACTGCTGCAGCTCGGTCTGGTTGCAACCTCAGCTTGTACGGATGTTCTGTCTCTCTCTCTCGCCTCATCTCCGACCACGTCCACCACGGCCCCTGCCTCCTTTTCCGCCGCGGCCTCCGCCCCTCTTCCCACCTCGGCCGCGGTTCGGCAGGTCGAAGCGCTCGTACAGCTTCTCGTCGGCGAAGGCCGCCTGGCCGAATCGCATAAAATTGACGAGGCCGCGGTCGACGACGGAGATGAGCACGTTGCGATGGCCGTGCTTGAGGCGCGGGTAGAAGCGCCCCGGCGCCGAGAGGGATGCGTCTGCGGGGTCATAGGGCGTCGAGTCGAAGAGAGCTTCGAGCTGCTCCAGCTCTGGAACGAACGTGTCCCTGGCGTCGACGACGGCGATGCGCAGGTCGGGCGGTGGCGGATCGCTTTTGGAAAAGACTGGGTGCTTGGACGGGCGCCAGACATGGAAGAAGACCTTGAAAGGGTCCTCGGGCGCGGCTGTATCGGCCGCCTTCTCGCGGGGGTCGAAGCGAGGGATCAGTTCGAGCTGTTTGTATATCGGGGCGTATTTGCGGTAGAGACCGGGTCGGACGAGGGGCCCGAAGGGAGGCGCTTGGCCGCCACGCTCTGGTCGGCTCAGGAGAGAGAAGAGCCATTGCCAGACAGACTTTGGTTGGGCTGATGCCGGTGATGGTGCAGCATGGGTCGCCGTCTCGCCCGCGGGCGCCCGCTGGACGTGGTAACCGCCTCTCTTGAGGTGTGCGTAGACCTGGTATTTCGGCAACGTGATCTTTCCGCGCTCGCCCTCGACGCCGATGAGTAGCGCATAGGCGGCTTGCAGGCTGAGGGGAACGCCATCGGCGAACTCGTCGTCATCGTCCTCTTCTTCTCTGTCCGCCTCTGGCTCTCCGTCAGCCGGCGCGCCGCTGTGCTTGTCGTCGCCCCGCTGTGCCGTCGTCTTGCTGCCCTTCCTCGCGCCCTGGGTCCTCTTGATCTCCTGCCCCGGCATCAGCTCCTGCAGCGTCCTGTCGGGCCACCACAGGTCCATGGACCCGCGCTCGAGCATGAACAGCGCCTCCTCGGGCAGCAGCCAGACCTTGCCGACGGCGGGGCTCGGCGGCTTCATGCCGCGCACGGTGCGTCCGACGGACCTGTTCTGCGGGCCCTTGAGCTCCTCCAGCACGACGACCCTGTCGGCGGCGTGCAGGGCCGGGTCGAGGGCGGCGGCGAAGGCGGGCGGCGCGGCGGCGAGGGCGGCGAGGGCGGCGGGCCAGTAGTCGGCAAACAGCCAGCCGCGGTTCCAGTCGCCCGTGTGCAGGCGCGTGTAGGCAAGGACGTCCTCGATGACGCGGCGCGACGTCTCGAGGGCGGCGTCCTGGGCGCGCGTGCCGTGCGCCTCAAAGTCCTTCTGCCCCTTGCGGATCGTCTGCGAAGACACGCCCTTTTTGGAGAACATGGAGGCGAAGAGGGCCATGTCGAAGGGGGCGTCGGCGGGGTCGTCTTCGTGGTCGTGGGCGTCGGGGTCGCCATTGTTGGCGTGGGCTTTGGCGTTGGCATTGCCCTTGTCTGCGAACGGCGCCGGCGCCGGCGACGGCGTGAGGAACGGGTTGTCGTCGTCGTCGAGGGGCATGGTCGGAGAGAGAGGGGGGACTTCGGTGTCTGGTATGCGTGCTCGGGGAGAGGGTGGGCGGTTTCGTCTTTTCGTGGTCGTCGATGCAAGGCGGAAAGGGCAGCAAAAATCGGGAACAGTGCCTGGGCGGAAGCTACCCCAATCCAGTCTCCAACGAACCCCGCGCTCCGCACTGACCTGTGCCGACAGCTTCACCCTGTGATGGTGGCATGAGTCTTGTTTACTGGGTGGGTGCTGTAGGTGTGGTTTTATTTTTTCAATTGGCCTTGTGTCTTTGTCTCTCTTTGCTGTTTCTCCTTCTAATACTCGTCCTGGTGTGCCTGGCCCCGGTGCGCCTCGAAGATCACAATGTTTCTGTCGAGATCTGAAGTACAAGCTGTCATCACGGGAACAGACGCCCTCTGTGACCTCGTGTAGCACTGGTCAAATTAATTAACTTCTCATACTGCCATTGGTATGTCTTGAACTTCGTACTCTTCCCTGCCTCTTTCTTGAAAGGCAGACGTCTCCAGCACTTTGTTGTCAGCACCGGCCGAAATCCTACTTATCCCATGTGACAGTCAACAATCTACCCGCGTGTCCATAGCTGCAGCTTCCCGAGTCCAGTTCGCATAGTCACAGGAGAGTTTGGTGGAACAGAGAATATGAATGCAGTGTCGAGTCACGCCCGCTGCCCACCCAGTTTCCAAACCTCACCCCTCATGTATACATGGAGACTCGAGCGTACAAGCCAGACTTGTTTCCCACAATGACAGATTCTCAAATCATGATTGTAACAAGTTTAATTCAGGGAAGCCTAGGAGCCCATAGTTTCATGTTCACATCAAGTACTTCTGCGTCACTCGAAGAGCACAGACTGATGCTCAGTCAGATCATCACCCACAGATCCAGGCGACGTCCACTTTCAGAGTATAACAACTCCCTCCTCTTAATCAAAACTCACGCATAGAAAGTGCACAACGGGACGAGAAGTGGCCTCGGGGTTAGACGAAGGGCCCTGGCCTCGCCGCATGAAAGGCCTGCCCGGCCATGAAACTCCCACGCCGTATGCACCATGGCTCGTGGCTCGTGACACGATGTGGCATTATTGCGAGGACAGTATGGACTAAGCCATAGATAGCTCACGCGAGGCCCGATACAATGATGGCTACTGAATACATCTTTCGTAAACAATGTTGCGACGTCAAATAAGCAAAGAGCTTCTGACACGCACCGTCAAACACGATCGCCCAGATCCGACACAACCTGGCAGGACAGCATGCATTGAGTCCAAATTGGAGTATACCGCAGGCTTTTGCACCACACTTTCTCGTGTCACACATGAGAGTACAAGAAACACCCCGTATGGCAATTCCGTGGTGCATCGAGGTCACGCTGAGTGTACATGAGCCCCACCTTCGGCCACTTCTCTCACTGAACCCCAATCGGAGAGGTGGCCGAGTGGTTAAGGCGCTGGTTTTAGGTATATCTCGATATTCCACCAGTGGGGAACCGCGCGAGTTCGAATCTCGTCCTCTTCAGATGTTCTTTTGCTCTACACACATTGTCTGCATTGATTGTCTCGTGCTCCCTTTTTTGGTCCATGATTTGAATGCATAGTGCCGTAACCAATATATTGGTTCGAATTTCCCCATGAGGACATGGCGGTTCAATGATACATACGCATCGCCAGCCAAAGAGTGAGCCTGCCGCTTCACGGCAAAGCCCTCATCTCGTCCAGTGTTGCACTTCGCAGAGCCAGTCTCAAAAGCTACCCTCACAGGGGGACCCCGGCTGTCATTGAAAAGAATCATTGTTTCGCTTTGCACCAGACGCCGCGAAACGTCCGTCTATCTCCTCTACCGCACCCCAAAGCCGGCTCATCCTGCTGCTGCACCAAGCCAGCCAGCAGGTCGATGGCCGCCCGCCTTTCCTACCGGCCGCCCTGCACCATCGTCAAAGCTCGTTTCACGTCATGATTATATGTACGTCCGGCCGCCCTCCGGTCGCCGCCTGGGCTCCCCGCCAGAGAGCCTGCCATGATGGGACCGCGCTGCCCGTCTCCTGGCCACAGATGGCACCAGTTTCTTCCCCACCTCCGGCCGGTGCGCTGCTCTGCATGCCGGTGTCCCTGCACCCCGACGTCTTCTTTGCCGGGCGCGTAGAAGCTTCTGGCCGTCGGGACGTGGCTTCTTCCACATGACAGCAGTGACCGTCTTTTCGCACGTGCGAAAGCTCACTTGCGCAGCGTCGTGCCGATACTGCCCTCGGCGTATGAAGAGGCTGCTCGCTGTAGACGGGGCCCTGCGGACGCTCTCCAGCCTCCACGGCAGACGGGGCCAGGGCAGTCGGAAGAGTGCGGTCCGTGTATATACGATGGAGCGGCCGCCCGTGCGCCGGGTATTCTCCGCGACCGACGGCAGGAGAATGAGTTTTTGTTGGTTGTTCATGTTTCTCGTACCCCGCTGACGATTGGCCTCGCTCACTCAATGAGCGGCTTCTTCTGTCCCCCCACGATGCACAACCCCAGCGTGTGGAGGGCCTCCCTGTCGTTGGCTAGTATGATCCTCCTCGCCGGCAGCATGGGGTTAATCGGGTCGACGTGCGACGCGTCCATGGCGGCCTGCTCGATGGCGTCCATCTCCTCCTTGCAGCCCTGCTGGTCCATGGGGCAGATGACGAGCGGCACCCGGGCCGTGACGTCGCGCGCGGAGCTCAGTTGCGCCTGCAACCAGTTAGTCAGTCGGTCCGTCCGTTGGCCAGGCATCCCATGTATGCAGCACAAGTGAAGGAGGGGCGGGACCTACCTTGACGGTCAAGTAAAACTCAATTTTGTAGAGGGTCGATGTTGTCGTGAACGACATGACCTCGTACATGGGGAACGCTGGCTTGCCGCGCCTCACGATGCCGTCCGGGTCGCGCAGGTCCTTGGAGGGGAACACGAGCCCGAGGTTGGTGGCGTAGCCGGCCTCGGGCAGCTTCGCGGCCACGGACTGCACGTGCTTGGCAATCTTGTTGACCTTTTTCTGGGGCTCGTCGCCCTCGGGGTTGTAGGTGATCTCCTCGTCGATGGAGACGGTGATCTTTTGTATGGTGACCTTCATGGCCTTCTTCATCCAGTCGGGGTTCGGCACGAGCTTGATGTACACGGTGATGGGATCGAGGGGCCCATAGCTCCACTTGGGCACGGAGATGCCGAGGGTGACGACGCTGTCGGACGTGTTGGTCCTCGTCTCGGGCTTGTTGTACATGCCAAAGGTCGACAGGGTGTCGTAGCGCTGCAGCGGCATGGGGAAGGCGTACTTGTTCTGGATGCTGTGGTCCTGCTGGACGGTGACGACCAGCTCGTAGAACGTCTCGGCGGTGCGGCTCGGCAGCTGGAGCGAGGCGGGGGGGATGCGGCGGTTTGTCTCCTCACCGCCGCGGCCGAAGGGGATGAAGAGGACGAAGGGCAGGTCCATGGCGATGACGCTCTCGGCCTCGCGACCGGTCTGGCAGCGGAAGAGCAGGAGCTCCTTGCCGACGACGTCGGTGGTCTCGCGGCGCGGCGTGCCCAGGTGGCGCTTGGCGACATTCTCGGCGGCGGGGTGGATGGTTTCGCGGCGCTGCAGGCAGATGCGCACGAGGGAGACGGCCACGGGCATGGAGAAGCCCTGGGAGGGGCGGATCTCGACCTTGCCTTCGATTCGGGGCTGTGAGGGGGCAGGCGCATGCGGTCAGCAAGGTGTTGTGTACAGCGCGAGAGGTTCCGTCGTCTCGTTGCTTGCCCCGACAACGGCGCAAGGGCAACACAGCACAGACACACAGCGAGGCAGACAAGGACACGCGCAGGAAGAGAGGAGAGGGAAGAGAGAGAGGAGAGGGAAGAAAGAGAGAGAGGACGCACTAATGTTGCTGATATGCCCGGGTAGCCGACGAGGAAGTTACTATTCGGCGGGCCAGAGACCCTCACGAAGGCGGCCATGGTGCCGTGATCGCCAGGGTCCAGATCGCGCGGGCGATTGCCTCAAGACGTTTTGTCTGTCGGTGGGTTCAGACGTTCAGTCTGGCTAGGACGAGCGGCACGGCCCCGGTGGTGCTGGCGGCGTGGATTTGGTTACTGCTGAGCAGGCAGAGCTGCCGTCGGAGGTGCTCTCATGCGTAGGGCGCGGGGGGGTTGGAGGTATCGAGGAGCTCGGACGTGGGGTGGTTCGTAGAAATGAGGGCGTCCCGATGACGGCGGATGGGGTTCGCGATTCGGCCAAGGCTGTGGGTGTCGTGGGCGTGGTGGGCAAGCTGAGCTTGGCAGAAGGTATTACATGCTCGAGACGGCACCAAGGGGAGGAGGCGGGGGGACTCTGCGGCGTTGTCGTGTGCGACTCGGAGGCGGGTATTCGTTTGTCGTGAGAGGCAGGTCGAGGTTCCAAATTGCGAGCCAAGGCAAGGCCGGTTGAGGGCAGCTAGACGGGTCTGATGAAAGCGTAAACACTGTAGGTGGCAATGCAGGTATGTCCAGTAAGAAGAAGAGGCTCTCAGGGAGTGTGTGGGAGGGGAGGGCAGAGCCGACGGCGAGGCAGAGCAGTGGCAGCGCGAGATGCAGAGGCAGGCAGAGAGGTAGATGCAGAGGCCGAGATGCAGCAAGCAGGCAGGCAGGCAAGCAGGTAAGACAGTAGGTAAGCAGCTCTGAGTGGTTCGCGGTACGCAGTACGCAGTACGCAGGCGGTATGCAGTACGGACGGAGTACAAGAGTGTGCCACTGCTGCGTTGTGCTCGCAACATTGGGTGGGCATAGACAAGAGCAATCAACCATGCAGCGTTGTGCTTGGGTCGGATGCTACCCGCCAGACGGATGATGCTGGTGCGGAGTACTACTGGGGTGGTGGATTGATTATAGATTATAGCGCCCAAGCTCCCAGTTCAGCGCCGAGCCCGCTGCAACTGCTCTGAGCCCGCTGCAACTGCTCTTACCCCAGCTGCTGTTGCTGGGCACCTGGGGCCTCTGGCCTCGGGCCGCTTGGGCACTGAGCCAGGCACCGACGTGGGGCTCCCAGGTCGTCATCATCCCCCCTCCTCAGAGCTTCATCTCAGGTAGGGACCCAGAGGAGACTCGCTAGCTCTGTCAACAAAGGGCCCAACCCACGGCAACGACCCTTTCGCGTTGCCTCATTCGATCCAGCCTCGTCGCCCATTTCTACCTAGCCATGCCTCTAGGGTGCAAGCTTCGATCCGGCTGCGGCTCGGCCGTCCAAAAACATAGCATGACCACACAACGTACAGCGACCGTGGTGTGAGGCTCGGCTTCGCACGAATGAGGCACCGCCATCTGACATTGCGCTTACTCTCCCCTATGCTGTCCCCACCTACTTGGGTACTGAACACAGGCAAAGTTAAAGGACAGGAACAAACATGGATGGTGACGGAGCACCAGAGCTGAATGATGGGTGATGCCGATGCTGTCAAGCTTTCAGCCCCCAAACCCCAGCCCTGCTGGCGCTTCGGCGCTACCAGGCAGCCTACCAGGCAGCGTCATCGGCACACTCGGCGCATCTGGGCCGTTCAACATGGAGGCTTGTTCGGAGGGGGCGGAGGGGAGTCTATTGCCTGGCGGTAAGAACGGATCTTGTCGAAAAGTCACGATACCTTTGTGTCTCGTGCTCCCGCAGCGGTACCTTGGGTCTTCCAGCCATGGCCATCATACATTCTCTGCAACGGCTCCCAGGATGCTCATTGTGCATTGCTGTCTCCTCACATGGCGAAAAAATGATCAAATTGTTCGCTTGTCGATAGTGCAACGAATTAAGCGCTTGGTCCTGCATACGTAGCATATGCGCCTCGAACCCTGGGGTCGTTAACCACAAGCCACGCGAGAGCGGATCAAGTGGCGGTCATCTTTCTCGCTTATATCGTCTCGCCTATCTATTCCGTTATTGCAGGGACACTTCAGTGGTATTATAGCTCATCCTTTATTTACCTAGACTCCTCATGCTCTATCCGTGGCATGAACCCCAAGTTCATTATCTACCTACCTACATGTAGGTAGGTAGAGTAAGGTAGGTAGGTACGGTACCATCCTGTCCTTCAATGTACGCCTCACTGACGTGGCTGTGGTGGCTGGGGATGCGGAACATCAACCCCGCCTCACCTGCCTACCTTGGTTAGGTACCTAGACATGTCAACATCAACTCCCCCTGACACGGACATCAGACCACCTAGAACACAACACCCTTGGTCTGCTTCATCTCGCCCACGTTCAGGTCCTTCAGCATGCAGATCCACACAATCAGCACACCCGCAATGCCCCTCCCCGCCGCCAGCATCCTCGTCTGCGCATAGCCGTACGCCTGCTGGATCGCGAGCCTCTCGGGGCTTCCCACGGGGTACGACAGCTGCGCGACAATGTCGCCGTACACGACCAGCGCGTCCACGCCCTCGGGCAGGTAGCGACGCAGCGCCGGCAGGAACGTGTTGGTCCAGATGGCCCCCGAGATGGTGCTGCCGACGGCACCGCCCATGCCGCCGCTGACAAAGAGCATGGCCAGCGCCGCCGCCACGTGCTGGTGGTCCACCGCCGCCAGCACGGCGATCTGCATGCCGAGGATGAAGATGGCGCCGCCGATCGACGTGAAGATCTGGCACATGACAATGTACCCAATCTCGCCGTTCGGCCTGCGGAAATGGATCATGAGGCCCAGGCCCAGGACGTAGAACGGCACCGCCACGAAGAAGAGCCAGCGGAACCGCCCCGTGCGCCGGATCAGGTACCCCACGATGAACAGCAGCACGCCCGAAACCACCTGGAACGTGCTGTTGACGTAGCCGGCCTCGGCCACCGTCACGTTGTTGACCACCTGCAGGAACGACGTGAAGTAGCTGTTCCACGACGAGTACGACATTTGGTACGTGAAATCGATGAGGCACGCGCCCAGGACCGTGCGGTCCGTGAGGAACTTGTGCTTGAGGAACGGCACTGGCGCGAGGTACACCTGGTACAGCGCAAAGCCCACGAGCGTGACGAAGCCCATGACGATCATGGCCATGATGTAGTCCGTCGACCAGCCGTTCGGCGCCGACCGTGCCAACGTGAACGGCAGCAGGAACACGGTCAGGCCGCCGGCGAACAGGAAGACGCCGAAAGCTGTGCACCAGATCAGTCACTGAAACAAAAACACCAGCACGGCTGACGGACAGCAGGCGCGAACTCACCATCAAATTCTTTGAGACCGTAGACGATCTTCTGGGGAATGGTCCGGCCGCTCTTCTCCCTTGTGTTGATGAGGCCCTGCTTCTCGGCCTTGCGGAGGTTCAGCTTGAGCACGCCGAATAACGGGAACGTGACCATGGGTACGATGATGGCCATGCACCCGAATCCCCATCGCCAGTTGAACCCGTTGAAACCCTCGGCGGCCTTGCTTCCGGCGAATGCCGTGATCATGTAGGGCGAAGATGTGAAGGCGAAGGCTAGGCCACGGTTGCGCAGGTTCGTCGCGTCGGCGGCGAGCACGCACACGGTGTAGATGGCACCACCGAAACCGACAGAGTAAAAGACCTGCGCGGCGCAGAAAGTGGCAAGGTTCTCCGACACGGCCATGAGGACGAGACCGAGGGTCGCAAAGCCGATCATGAGCAGAAAACCTTCGGCACGGCCCCAGACGTCGAGCATCTTGGCCATGGGGATGTACACGGCAGCCGTGATGGCGCTCGAGACGATACCAATGACCGTTAGGAGCGAGTGCGATTGGAAGTCGCTCGTGACGTATGGCGTCAGGCCCCACAGGATCGAAAGTCGGAACCCGTTGGTTAGGAAGAGGAGCCAAATGCTGCGATATGTCAGGAACGAGTCACCAAAGGCGTAGACTCTGCTGGGTGGACAATGTTGACTTACAGGATCAGACATGCTGCCAGGTAGCCCTTGGTCCAGGTCAGCGTCACAGCCTGGATCTTCTGAACACCGAGCTGCGCATTCTTGCTGGGCACCAGCTCGTCGGGGATGGCGTTCTTCTCGTCATCGTAGATGGCACCGCCGTCAGCGCCCGCGGTGGCCGGCGCGGCCTGGATCTCGAGGTCGGCCGCTGGGGCGGCAGCTTCGGCGTCGCCTCCCGTCTTGCGACCCACCGCGTTCTTGAGGTTGTCCAAGATAGCCATGGCTGGTATGTAGGGACGACAGGGTAGTCAAACGTGCTGGTTCTCACGACTCGTGCATGAGGGAAAGAACGCTGAGGATCATTCCCCTACTTGTACCTCCACCTCGGGACTTGGCCAGCTTTTTTTTTTTTTTCTCTTCCCACCCAGTGCCTCGGGTGCCTCTCACAGGATGTCAGCGTCAAGCAGAGACGATCCGTTGTCGGCGGGCAAAGGCGGACCGAGATGGGCTGCCAAGGTGCAAGTAGTATCCATCGTGTTCGCTGGTGCCGCTACTACCCAGGCCGTAGGATTCGCACTAGTGTTCAAATCAGTAGTTTGGGATGGAGATCGCGAGGACTTTCGTGAGCTTTTTTATCTGATTGATCTCATCTGATTAGATCCCACTTTATAGCCCGGCCCATGTAAGGGACCACCCCTGACGAGCCTGTTAAGCTTAGGTTCTAGCCCGAGACCGCGTGGCAGGATTTGCATGGGGGAGGCAGGTCCTTTACCCGACACTTGTCGGCCGGAGCAAAGCCGCCTGGCCGTGCAGTCCAAAGGACCGCAAGAACACCCGCCTCGGATGCACAGTTTGGTGTCGGATGAGCGGTTGAGGCGTCGACTGTTCGTGGGGGTGGAGTGGAGCGCACTGCACACGTCGAATCCCCGGCTCCATCGACAGTCGTAATATTGCGAAAAGGGGGGATAGAAGAGGTAACTTGAGCTCGATCATCTCCCCTTCTCTCCCTTGCTGTACGTGGCTCTCAGCCGGCGATGAACAGCAGAAGACAACTGCCCGTAGCTGGGTGCGGTGCGAACGCCGACCTCGAGGCTAGGCTAGGGTCGCTGCTGCAGCCATGGCGTCGGGCCGTGAGCTTGGCACCATGTGCCTAATAGGATGTTTTTTTTTCTCCTCTGCCGCGCCATATCTTGCCCTTCACCGGGGTTGGCTAAGTTGCGATGCAAGTGTCTGGTGTGCTCCTCCAAATGCCGTTCCCGACCACGGGGTTCATGTGCATGTCTCTTAGGAGGTAAATCATAGGCAGGGCCTCATCAAGCGAGAGCTGCAGTGTGCAGACACAGTTGAGAGAGAACATGGCAGTCTAGAGGCAGCACGAACGCAACATACTAGGCGGGTATCAAACCCAGCAGGGTCGAGGTGCTCACAACTCGGAGCGCCGCCTAGCATGCAAGCAGCGACGGCTAGACAACACCCGTGCCCTTGTACACAGGGATGGGTATCAAATCACAAGAACGGGCAGAGCTTGGCGGTCCACTTCGCCGCATACAAAAGCACAAGAGTCGGGACTGAGAGGGCAGGTATAGCCTCGTCGAGGTTCGGCCCAAGTTATTGGATCCAAAGCCCAGGCTCTGGCCTGCGGGCCTAGTGACCGCCCCGGCAGGCCCTTCATACCTCTCATCAGAATTTGCAGCGCTTCCGAGTGCGGTGCCGTCGCGTGCCCTCTGTGACTCCCGTCAGGGATCATCGGGTCGGGTCATTGCACTTCCACGTAACGTAGCTCGGTCGTTCGTCAGGGTCCTGCGCAAAGAGCGAGGCCGAGATGAGACTCGGCTTGTAGGAAGAATGATCAGCCCTAGATCAAATCGACCATCACAAATACCAAGAGGAAAAAGCGGGAAGAACCTAGGTAGATAGGTGTAAGATCTGACAGAATTTTTGTTTCCTTCATTGAGCAAAAAAAAAAAAAAAGACATTACCACAAACGCCGTAAAGCAGCGCCGGCGTGTTTTATGACCTAAGCTACACACAATCAGCCAAGAGACCGCTTCGATTTACGAGACCGGAAACCTAGAGTGGCCGCGCACAGAACAACCGCAACATGAGCATCTGAGCGCTGGGCTGCAAGATCCTGTACGTCGAGTCGAGTCGGTGTGAAAGTCCTGTTAGATTAAAGGTAGCGGGAGCCAGTCGGGACGGGGCGCGATCGAAGGCTGATACCAGAACATCCGATACCACGGGCCGCAAGATGAAACACAAAAACAATTTTCCTCCCAACCGTCCGGTTCCGAAAGGCGGCTGTTTATCGCCTGGGGCGTTCGAAAGTGGTGGTCGTCATCGAGAGATAGACCAAGGGAAGAGCACTAGAACACTACCTTGCAAGTCAGAAAACCAAGGTGGACCGTCTCTGTTTCGGACTGCCTACCTGATGAGTCCTAAAGCCGCATCTTGACGTGGCGAACATTAGCTTTTAGATCGCTCTGGTGCGAGAGAACAAACTGCTGTAGACCGCATCTACAACAGGTGACGCGTCGATCATCCTGCCGCCAAAGTAACGGCCGTTCAATCCCTTGATGGCATTCTCTCCACCCTGCACCTTGTCGAACTTGAGATAAATGTCGCCCTTGGAGTTGGGGTCTACCGAGATGTGAACGACGCGGCCGTACTTGCTCTCGGCCTCCTGGCGCACGTCATCTTCGAGCTCCTTGGCCCAGTCCTCACCCTCTTCCCTGCGATGCTGTTAGTTGGTGCCACACAAGCGGACGAGGCAAGCAAGGTTCAACGTACTCTTCGGGATCAAACATGTTGTGCAGCACGACGCAACGACTGGCCATGTTCACGTTGACCGGGAGAGGCTTAGTCTCCGTCTTGGGCTTCAGCGTCTGGCGCTCATCTACGGCGTTGCTCGCGTCGTCAGTCCTGGCAAGCTTCCTCATGAGGGCATCACGACTGTAGTTGTTAAAGTTGACACCGGCGACATCCGTGTCGTCAAGGGCACTCGCGCCGCCCGACTTTTCGCTGTCGCGACCGCCCGCGCGGTCAAACGTCGAGTTCTGGGGCCCACGGCCACCGGCGCCGGAAAAGGCGGAGCCCTGGAAGGGCTGTTCGCGGCCGGAAAATCTCTGCAACAAGTTGGCAGTGCTCTCTGGGGTGAACTTATCGTTTCCGAGACCGACACGGATGGGACGACCGGCAAGGTCGAACCCATTCATCTTCTCGAGGGCCTCCCTAGCCTGGCCTGCATCCCGGTACCTGAAACGTGGGTTAGCATGCATATTCATGGTGCCAAAGAGGGACATGTACTCACTGCACAAAGCCATAGCCGCGGCTGCGGCCAGTGTCATCCTTCTGCAGTTGGACAAACTCGAGCTCGCCGAAGGGCTCGAAAACGGCCTGCAAGTCCTGCTCCGTCACGTTGAAGTGAATGTTCCCGACGTAGAGGCGGTGGAAGGGGATCGAGTTCGACTGTGTACCGGCTGCTTCCGTCGTGCGAACCTGACGGTTCTTCTCGGCTTCGGTAAGCTGAACGATGATAGGGATACCTAGCAGCTTCTGTCCGGTGAGCTGGAGCGCCTGCGTGACAGTGTCTTCGGATTTGAATTCAACATAACCAACTCTGTCTCCAGTTAGCAAAAAATCAAAAAATCGTCATGGTCATGGCTTCGGGAAAGTCTCACCCCTTGGATCTCTGGCTGATGCGGTCTTTGACAATCTGGGCTTCGTTGACGGGGCCGACCTTCTCGAAAAACTCCTTCAGCTCACGAGTGCGCAGGCGGGCGGCCAGCTGCTGGACGAAAACGGTCCTCCGATCGCGCTCATCTTCGGTAAGCGGCGGCGTGCCCTCGCGCTTGGACGGCGTGTGCCTGTCATCGTCGCGGCCACGACGATGATCTCCAGAGTAGCGGTCGGAGCGGTCGCGGTCGCGGTCCCGTTCGCGACGGTCCCGGTAGTCGCGGTCGTCGCGGCCGCGGCGCGACCTGTGCGGCGAGCGCGAACGGGAGCGCGAACGGCCGCCGCGCCCGCCGCCGCTGCCGCGGTAGTAGTCGCCATCTCTGTGACGGCGTGAGTGACGGCGGTCATCATCTCGGCTTCTGCTTCGTCGCCTACTCTTGTGGCTTCCTGCGTCGCTCCGCGGCGTGTCTGCCTTGTGATCGTCGGGGGTGCCTCGATGGCTGCGCGAGGCGCTGTCGCGGCGCTCGCGGCGTCGGCGGTCGTGGTCGCGCTCGCGCTCGCGGTCTCGCTCCTTTCTCTCGGAGCGGTCTCGGTTCGACTGGTCGTCGGCGTCTGCTGTCGGCTTCGGGTCTGTCGCTCCGTTGGCGGTCGCGTCCAGGAGGGCCTCCACATCTAGGTTAGACATCTTGGCGGGTCTTTGTGTGTGGTCTACACCAGAGGATTAGTGCCTTGTCTTTCGTCAGCCGCTGTGCACCTCCGTTTTTGAGCGTAGCGATATGGCAGGATTGGAAGCCTCGTGAGGTGAGCGGAATGGCCTGCGTGCTGTCGTGGATGTCGATTCGACCGTTTGGCTGGGGAAAAACTGAGGGGCAGGGAACAGAGTGAGGAAACGGGCGAAATCAATCGCTGGCGCTGGGTGCGGTCATCTTGCTGACGGCACAGTCACGTGGTTGCTGCCTAGTACTGGTGTACACCGTGCTGTGATTGTGTGCGGACTGTGCAGGCCACCACTCTCAAAGTGCCAGAACAAAGGCAACATCACACCATGAGCTGGGTCCTCATTCATTTCGCAGGCCCGAGTGAGTGGTGGTATCAATATTAAACACTAATATGTATCTGCAAGTATGCAGTGGCTCATGTCCCGTTCCGATGTTCAAGTCAGACATTGCCTCGTAGTCCCGTTAAAGCATCTCACCCCTGAACTCCTTCAGACAACCGGTCCCCTTGAAAAAGGCCAGCCCCGTCATTCATATTACACCCGCTGGCCATGACTTGCATTAAAACCTGACAACTGTCCTCGCTTCTCACTGTCCTGAATCCTCACTCTGCAAAAGCTCGTCTCCCCGATCAGGCAGTCTTGACAACAGGAACCAGCTCGGTTCCGAAGACGCGGTCCCAGAACTTGCTCGTGACGCCAAAGCCGAGCTCGTAGTCGAGGAAGTGGTGCTGGAGGTGGTACTTCTTCAAATCCTTGTACCAGAGCGGGAGATTCTGGTGATGGAGGAAGTAGTGCGTGAGGTCGTAGCAGACGTAGCCGAAGATGCCTCCGCAGTACACGGCGGTGCCGGCGTACCAGTTGTAGGCAAAGACAATGCGGGCCAGCTTCCAGAATGGCGTCGCAAGAACGACGAACAGGGTCGGCGGCATGACCAGGCGGTATTTGTCCATGGGCAGGTAGTGGTGGATGCCGTGGAGCAGGAAGTGGGCGGTGATGCCGACACGGTTGTTGGGGAGGTAACTCCAATCCTGTCAGTGATGGTCCCAGAGCGCAAACACGAGGGAGGGGGAGGAGACATACTCATCGAGGTGGAAGAGGAACCGGTGGAGGACATATTCCAGCAGACTCCAGAGGAAGAAGCCTCCAATAAAATGCATGGCGACATCGAGAGGACTGTTGAGGCCTTCCCGCGACAGGATGGTGCCGTAAATGACGGGAGGCAGCCAGATGGTCGGGATCACCCACCAGGGCGTCTTCGAAAGAGGCTCGAGGAAGTTTCCAAATAGGGGTGCAGAGGCACCGCCCTTGTAGTGTCTCGGGCGGTGGACCTGGTCGAGGTAGAAGTCCTTGTCGAATCCGCCGAACCAGATCTGGGGGAACAGTGGCCGGCTGAGGTCGAGGAACTTGTGCGTCTTGTAGTCCGAGTTGTAGTCGGTGTCCTTGCTCAAGTCCTCCTCGCGCGACATGCCGGTCCGAGGGTGAACCCATTCGGCCTTGCCGTCCTTCGTCTCGGATCCAGTTGCGACGCCATTCGTCTTGGTAGCTGAACCGTTGACGGACTTCTCGTTCACGACGAAACCAACGAGGCTTTCGTCGAGAATCTCGTAGGCCGAGTCAGAGTGGGTGTGGGAGACCTCGTCCTTCAGGATCTCCTCGACATCCTTTCCTGCGTATTCGAGCACAAACTCGGGACCGCCAGGGTGATCCTGAACGAAGTCGGTGATGTCGTAGACCTTGTCACCAATGGTAACATAGCAGGATCCTTCAGTATTGTGCGCCTCGACCTCGGCGCGGGTGAAGGTGGGAAGGATTCGAGCGGGCATCTTGATTGGCAAGGCCGGGCGGCGGATGGCTCGGAGATATCGTAAGCGGGCCTGTCGGGAGGGATGGATCGAGAGTCGTTGTTCCAAAAAAGGAGTGTAGCCCGCCGGTGCGTGATGCGAGATCCAGAGAGACGACGACGCGAGAAGGGCGAAACAGGTCAATCGAGAGAAGTCGGCGGCGCAGGTGGAAGAAAAACAGATTTGCCCCTCGGTATTTAGGGGAATCGCAGATGAGCTACGGATCAGAATCAGATTTAGCAGGGCCGCGCCACGGGACGCGGTGCAAATTAATGTGGACCCGAGAGTGGTGTTACTTTGGAACGCGCGGGAGCCATGACAGCCGATACACTGTGCATGTGGTGCGATCTGGGTCCCTCCAGGGGTACCTCTAGCAGTTGGCAGGCAACGGCCTCCGCTGGGCCTTCTTTTCACTGGAAAACCGGCTGTCGATCGGGATTCGACCTTGCCTGGCAGTCATGCCATGGCCGGCTGTCGTGTGGCATGAATCGGGGCCAAAACAAGACGATGTACCATGTAGCACCCACTCTATTCTTCTCATTCCATACGGTATTTGTCGATGCGCCCGGGAGAGCAAATGCTAAAAAGCTGTCTGTGACACGTACCTGGGGAAGGCACAGTGTGTCCATCCGTCTGGATGGAGAAATCAAGCGATCATGCGCCCTCAGCGGTTCGGACTCTCGGGCAATGTAGATCTGCATACATGTGCACGCTGAATTCACAGACGGCGCCCGGACGAGACGGGATTCAGCATCGTGGTCTGATTTGTTCTTCACAGCAACAGGGACAGTGCAATTACCGACGGAGCCGGTGCTGCCCAACTGTACTCATTGGCCAGTGGTGAGACCTCGACTCGGTGGATGTTGGGGATCGGCGCCAGCATCCAAGTCGCCGAGTGCATTGGGTGCCTACGGCGTCGGATCCAGTGCAACGTCAGCGGCCTCCGGTACTGAGGTGCGCTAGCTGGTCCTGGACTCGGGCTGCCTGGCACACTCAAGAAATCCGGCCTGCTATATTTCACCTTTCAAATTTCATCTCCCAAACTCAAACTCATTATGTCGACGAGAAGAAGTTCTGATAGGTGACGACAGTAGAACGTTCACTGTTGGATCTCAAACGCGCAACCCAAAACTATTTGGTGCGTCACACAACTCCAACACGGCAGGGAAGCTTACAGGCTGTGACAGAGCAAGATTGCCAGTCACAATCATAGAGCAGTAACAGCTCCTATACAATATACGCGTTGGGAACTAGGTATGGCGACCGGTGACCAGTCGGTGGATAGCTGTGGCATGTGGTTTGCATGATCAAGGGGTTCTCAGGCGCTTCAAGAACGAGGGCGGCGAGGCGGTCTAAGTCAAGCGAATGGCCAGAATCAGGTAGCTGTGGTTGTGACAAGTGGCCCGCAAGATTGCCGGTATGGCTTCGCCATATTTCGTACTCAAGGACCTGGGTCACCATCGATCATGAACCAGGTCAAGCTTCGAGACACTGACCAAAAGATTGCGGCGTCCGTCAATGATCCTCTTATCCGGACACGCCGTGGTACTGACAGGCATGAGAAGTGGAAATGTGAATACTTGTCTATTCTTGACTTTGTCACGGAGGATGGTTCGTGATGCCTAGGTGGTGGCATAGCTATGATAATGAACGCTAAAACGAGAACCCGTGAGACAAACCGAGAAAATGCAGAACAAGGTTATTAGTACCTAAAACGCTATTCCAGGTTCGAAAAGAAAGTGGTTCATCGCTTAGCATTGGGCGGAACGGCATACCTACTCAGTATAATGTGTCCTGCTTGGTTGAACTCTCGAACTCGCCTTGTCTCATGCTGACGAGATGAGTATGAGAACCTCCGTCACCCTTGTTATTAGTCATCAATTGGACCGGTAGCTCAGGGGTTAGAGCGTGCGATTGCAGATCGCAAGGCCGCTGGTTCGAATCCGGCTCGGTCCTGTGGTCCGTTGTTGTGTAGCTCGTTGTAAGTGCATGATCCTTTTGCTGGGTCCGAAGCCGATATGCCTTGACAGACGACACAAGACACGAATCTGTATAGGGGTCCCTGTGCGTATTTTTGGCAGCAGCCGGTGGGGTTCACACTGGGACAGCTTCTAGGAGGGGGATTAAGGACCATAATATTTGGTCTACCATTCAGAAGCCTGAAGACGTTCATTCAAAGGCCTGAAGAGGTCCGCCGGAGAGGGCTCATGATACTTGTTGGTAAGTCATATAAACCTATCCGTAGGTGCCTACTAATCTTCACACCTTCGCTGTGTTTGTATAGCACTTCATATGTAGGAACAGTGCCTTCGTTAGGATGGAGAAACAAGTTTCGAAGGACAGCGTTGCTCGAGCCTCTCCGACTTCGCAGGCATGCCTTTCCCGAGTTTCGTGTTGCCTCCTTTGACAGCCTTGCATCAGCGGCGAAGCAAGGGAGTCTGCATGGCTGTGCGCCATCAGTACCAGCAAAAGAATAGAGGACCGAGCCGGATTCGAACCAGCGGCCTTGCGATCTGCAATCGCACGCTCTAACCCCTGAGCTACCGGTCCAGGTATAAGGAAAGTGAAGGTGTAGTCTGGATCGTGTCATCTTCGTGTCTATCTCGCCATGGGTTTGGACACTGAGATTAAGCTCATCGGGTGATCAGAATCGAGATGGCAGTTTTGTTTATATGCTTACAGCCGGTATACAGGGTAATACAAAGTACCTTTACAACGGCATTCAACTGAATCGACTCTCAATAAAAAAAACCGTGGAAGATCCAGGGCTCATCAAGATATGGAAGGCTTCATGGTATACCTGTGACGACTGCTGTGGTGTCCTTCACTGAGCCCCACCATGCGCCCTACCCGTACCGTGCTTGGCAGCAGTGCAAGCAAGCTCGGTGGCACTGTTCCACTCGCCCTCCATCAGCAGCTCAACGAGGGGCAGACGCGGGGCAACGGCGGAACGCGGCATCCAGCGTCTTTCGATGCCGTCACATTTGCTTGGTACGGAACCCCCCCCCCCCCTCCAGTCAGACCTTGCCCTCGTCTGGTTCGGTTTGTCTGACTTCTCATCCCTTCATCATCCTCTTGCAAAATTCAAAACCAAGTCAGTCAGCATCTGGTATCCATATTCGAACAAGGGCACTGTTGACTCCCCCTCCCCTCCTCTTGCGTTGAGCATCTCAATCAGCCTTGCCCTGAGTCGCAAACTACCCCACCATCAATCAGCTCAGCCCAGCTTGCGCCCTCAGTCACTACCGCTCTCTACCTTGGGTGTCTGACAAGTTATCCTCGTCAGCTACCACACCTCGCACCATCCCACACTGCCACAGAGGCCGCCCGTTGGACAAGCGGGATCGCGACTCTCGGCGTCGTCAGCAACACGTGAAAGCGCAAACCTATCATCACTCTCGCACGCTGGCGCTGCAATCTTTTCCACCCTCTCTCTCTCTCTCTCTACCTCGTCTTCGCAAATTTGGGAAGCTTGACATTTCCATTGCGCCATACCAACGTACGCGACACTCGAGCGCATAATTTCTCAGCACAACACAACAAACCCCCCCTCCTGCTTGGCGTCCTTGCGATATCCATCAGCACATAGGAATCCTACCCCTCGCCACCTCTTTCGTTCTTGCAGTACCAGGCACATCATGGCTTCCTTCCATTTTGGCAAGGGCTCCTGGTTCCTGGTCTTCTGCATTGTCCTGGTACTCCTGCCAGGACGAGCTGCTGCTTTTGGCGCCGGCAACATCCCCTCCATCGCTCAAGTCGAGGGTCACAATTGGCGTCATGGCGACATTGAAGACATGCTCGAAACAATCGCCTACCTGAACGGCAAGAAATGGACTTCGCTTCTCATCTCTCGCGTCTACTTTGGAAACTGGCTCCGCGACTACTCTCAGGCTGTCGATGTCGGCAGTCTCAAGGGCGTCAATGCTGCCACCATTCGCATCTTGGTATGTCCTCCTAGTCCGCCGCTGACAGCTCGCCATTGCTGACATTGCTTTTTTCATAGGTCTGGGTCCTCTCCTTCCTGGCGCATGGCTATGCTACCGAGGAATTCGAGGTCACCGAAGAACGACTAGGCTGTTACAGGCCCGAGGAACATATTGACAACCCCCTGGGCTATGCCGAGGGTCTCGATGCTCGTACCCTCGATCCTCGCCTGCGAGGCCCTGTGGATCCCGTCGAGACAGAGATAGACAGTCGTTCGGGTATGAAGAATTACATCGCCAATGAGCGTGGAGGATGGGCAACCAGCGCTGGCTATCTACGGTTCAGTCTCGGACGAAGCATTCACTATGGGCGCCTCTATACCAGTGGTGCTGGAAGCTCGGCCAACAGGGAAGAGGATCTCTGCGAGGCCCTGCGCTGTCTCGGCCAGGCCCTGCACACCCTTGAGGACTTCCCTGCCCACAGCAACTACTGTGAGCTGGCTCTTCGCGAGCTTGGCTACCACGGCGTCTTTCCTCATTGCGGGACTGACACTGAGATCAACCTTCGGGGCAAAAGGGTCTACCCTTTGGTCACGGGTACGTTCGGCGCCGTCGACTTCCTGCACTCTGTGCTTGGAGAAGCCAACGACCACTTCACCCAGTCCGAAGTTGACGAGATGAACGCCGCCCTGATCAACGCGCAAAGCTTGACCAAGGGCGAAGAATCCGGGTCCAGGGACAGGGGCCTGTTCTCCTCCTCGTCGTCCAAGTCGTCTGGAGATTTCATCTCCCTCATCGGCCAGCTGCCCGGCATTGGCGATGGCTTCATGAAGGAGGCCAGGGACCTTCAAGCCTCGTCTGCCCAGCAAGAGCAGGACAACATGCGGTCTAGGTCGGCGTTCAATACCCGCGACAACGTGAACCAAATTCCCGGCATGAGCCCCGACTTTGATCCCGTCAAGACCGCTGGTCGAATTTACCCCATCCTCCAGTTCCGCGACAAGATTGTCAAGGCGATCAACAGGTTTATTGCCAAGGTCCCTGGCTTGGAGAAGCTCCTCGAACGCATCAGCGAGACGCTGACTGCCTTTATTCTCGGCCTGCTCGCGCCCTTCATTCAGCCCATCATCCAGCAGGTGTCCAAGGTCCTCAAGGAAGGTTCGTCAGGACTCATCGGCGCCAGCGCCAAGTCCCAGTTCGAGCCCTGGGACAACCCCCGCTGCAGCGATCCCACGCACTCAATGTTGTCCAAGGATCACTTTACCAACATCTTGAACTCATGCGCCGGAAGGGTTGCCTCGACCATCTTGCAATACATCACACCGTGGGTTGCACCTCGCTCATCAAGAATGAAATGAATACTGACAAAGCGTAGGCGCGTTCTTTACGCATGGGAGAACCCCGGCGTTCCTGTTGACGAGGTCGTCGATGATGTTCTCCGCGCGTTCCATCACCCCGTCATGCGTGATGACCGCTGCGAGATTCAGAGCAACATGTTCAAGACGGTCCGCGAGTGGGCAGATGGCCACCCTCGTCGCCACGAGCTCTCCCACCTGCTCAACTCGCAGTCGGTGAAGGATCACAAGAACCACATCCTCAACCAGCAGACGACAAGCGGTAGCCGCAGTGCCGTGGATGTTCACTCGTGCGGCGGAGGTCTCGGCCACGGCAAGACGAAGAACTCGCTCTGGAACCAGATCAAAACGCGTGACCTCAACGCCATGGAGGGCGAGGACCGGAGGCCCCTGGCATCTGCCCCCGTGTCCCATGGCAATCAGGAATACGGCTACCGCCAGGACCAGAACCAGTCTCACATCTACACCGGCACCAGTGGTGGCGAGAGCGCCGGCTACTACGGAGGCGGCGGCAGCGGGTCGTCAGAGCGCCAGGAGAGCCGACCCAGCTACGACCGGCCCAGCTACGACCGGCCCAGCTACGACCGACCCAGCTACGACCGACCCAACTACGATCAGCCCCCTCCCCAGCAGAGCTACGGTCAGCAGGGCTACGGCGGCCCGCCACCTGGCCAGTACGGAGGCCCTCCCCCCGGACAGTACGGCGGCCCCCCTCCCGGACAGTACGGCGGACCTCCTCCGGCGCAGTACGGCGGACCGCCTCCAGGCCAGTACGGCGCGCCCCAGGGCTACGGAGGACCCCCACCGCAGCAGCAGTACGGCGGCGGGTACCAGCAGCCTCCCCCTCCCCAGGGCTACGGCCAGCCACCTCCGCCTCACTATGGCGGTGGAGGCTGGAGCCAGTATCCAGGCCAGGGGCGCCACTAAAAGGGTCAGAGAAAGATGCGAATGATTTGCCGTATCTAGCGGTTCACTTTTGAGCGGATGGGCTAGGATGGGGGACTTCGGAAACAGGTTACGAGGGTTTCGACACGCAGGGGCGAAAGTGCCAGCATGAGAGGCTGGGTGGTGTTTTCGCTGATGTGATGAATATACACACGACTGGCAGGGTTTTAACTACGTGCTACGTGCTATGTGAAGTGCGAATAAGTGAAAAGAGAATTACAAACAATCATGATGATGGAGGCAATGCCAAAGTCATGGCCAAGAACGCCTTGAAACTCCAGAGCGCCTCCCCCTGCGTCTTGCCTTTCCGTCATGGCCCCTTTCCGGGCTATTCGGCGCGAAAGCCTTGTGCCCGCGGCAGCCATGTTCTCGGAATCTACCGCTTGCCCCGCCGCGGATCGAGTGCCTCGGCCCTCCGGACGTCTCGAATCTCCTTGGTGCCCATGCTGCCGAGGCCGCCCTCGGAGCGCCTCTCCCAGCCGCCGAGGCGGACGACGAGGCAGGTGGCGTTGTCGCCGTTGGCGGAGACCTCGGTGGCGTAGTCGACGACCTTCTGGGCGCCCTGCTCGGGGGTGCGGGCCTCCTTGACGACGTCGACGATCTCCTGGTCGCTGAGGTGGCCGGAGACGCCGTCGGAGACGAGGGTGAGGAAGCTGTACTGGGCGGGGCCGAGGTCGACGCGGGTGATTTCGGGCTCGGCCGAGACGCCGATGCGCTTGGAGCGCATGTCGCCAAAGGCGCGCGAGTTGGCGAGGCCCGTGATGCGCTGCTCGCCGAACGAGTCGCCCGAGACGAGCGAGTTGGCCGGGGCGTAGCGGCGGAGGCGGCGCTCCTCGGCCGGGGTCGAGGGGTGGTGGTCCGAGGTCAGCGGGTGGGCGAGCCCCGTCGACGTGTCGCAGAGGAGGATGCGCGTGTCGCCGACGTGGCCGACGAGGAGCGTCGACTGGGCGCCGGGGTGCCCAGAAGGGGGCCGGGCGACGGTGTCGAGATGAGCGCCCACAGAGGCCGTCGAGCCGCCTTTGAAGCGCGTCGTGCCGCCGATGCCGTGGCCGGACGGCGGCGCGTGGGGCTTGCCGAGGACCTCGTCGTCGTTGACGGGCGAGTCGCCGAGGCGCGGGTCGTCGGGATCTGGTTTGCGCGCCTGCGCCGAGACAAAGTCGAGATCGGCGCGGAGAAAGGCGTACATGAGGACCGACTCGACCGTGACGAGGGGGTCGTGCTGATGGCTGTGGCCCTTTCGCGACGTGGCATTGAAGTGCTGTGGGTGGAAACGGCGAAAGTAGCCACCAATCGTCCGCTTGTAGTCGTCGATGAGGCCTTGCTCCAGTTGGCGGGCCTTTTGCACACTGTCGACCCTGGCAGCGATCGGGTCAACGCCCTTCATCGCTTCTGCCTTCTCTGGCTCTTTGATCTGGCCTTCGTTGCTCTGCGTTGGCACGTTCATCTGCTCCCGGACCTCATCCTCCGACTTCATGTCCGGCTCGTTGGCGTCGTTCGCCTCCTCGTCCTTCTGTCCCAGGCCAATTCTGGGTTCTTGAGTCCGGCGCAAGCTGCTTTGGAGTCCAAAGTCCGACGATGCCTCCTCTATGTAGCCATGCAGCTCATCCCTCAGAAATTCGGAGCATTCGTTGCCACCGTGGCCATCAAAGACGCCAAAGTAAAATATTTGAGGATCCCCCAAGGCACTATCGGCAGCCGTCGCCTCGTTTGATTGCTGGATAGGCTTCCTCTGCAGGCTCACAGGGGCGCGCTTCGCAAAGGCCGGCATTGCGATGGTCCCTGCCTGGTTCGTGTCTTCGTTATACGGTCTTGTGCCTCTTGCTGATGCCACACCGTAATGATGCTTCGCTCGTAGTAATGGGATCCTGACGACGGTCAAGTCTCTGTTGGGCATGTTGAGAGCTGCGACGGCCGGAGCCGAGCCCGGCCCAGGGGTGTGAGGGGTCGAGGCATCGCGGGGAAGCTGGTGGCCGGGGCCTGCCGAGCTTCGAGAGTCGGGATGGAGAGAGGAGGAGGGGAGGTGGGTGACAAAGTAGTTGTGGAACGCTCTTCGATGCGAGGCGCTCACGTTCTGCCATACGGCATTGAAGCTCGAGGCAGCGGTGCCCAGGTGTGTCGATGTTCGAGTCTGGAGATGCTGGATCAGATTCGGCCACGACCGAGCGGCCGGTTTCGAGACAACGAGGCCATTGGAAGCGGAGGGTGTGACGAGAAAGTCCTGCGCAGCCTCGGCGGCTGCCTGCAGTTTATGCCATAGATCCGCGGATATGGGAAACCCAGAGGCTGTTCGCGAGTAGCCTCGGTACTGGGCCAGTAAATGTCGCGACAAGCGGCGGCGGGAGAGAGCTGGCATGGTTGGGACAATGGTGAGAGATGGGCGAGCGAGACTGGTAGAGCTTCATCGCCGTGATGATGCATGGCGTGGTGCATGTATTTGAGTCCGCGTGCTTCCTACGCCATGGCGTTTGTCGTTGTGGTTCAGATGTTCGTCGTCGTGTTCGCTGCAAAGCTGGGAAGCTGGGAAGAGGGGCTGTCGGCTATAGCACCGGCCGCGTTTGGTGACGCAGCACCTTGGATGCCAAGCGTCGTACCGTACGATAGGCAGAACCGGAGCTTGTCTGTGAGTTTTGGAACGACGGAGACTTGAGATGGAGGCCGATTTGCAAGACGTAGGAAGAACCGGGTTGTCTGCGAATTGATGAGATTGAAGCTGTTGAGGATCGTTGAGGTTTTGGCGAAGAAGCAACTGCACCTCAGCGGACAGTGCTGCACCGAGCGCTGAACAGCAAGAACAGCAAGAACAGCACCAGGTCGTCGTCCCTCAACAGCTGCTGTCACTGGCGGGCTCAGGCGAGGCTTATCGCATCTCTTATCAGCATAGGCGAGGCCCCAGAGTTTGATCCACAGTGACACAGTGAGCCGGACCTTTAGACCCTGGACTCGCAAGTCACGACCTGCTGGCTCGTTTGCATTCCATGATTCACGCGGGGATCCTGGCTAGTTTATTTCTACATTGACATAGGTATCACACATCTTCCTGCTTCCAACAAAGAGGTACCTCGTGTGGAGAGAACAGCGTAAGCACTGCCTGAAGTCGCCTCGACCACCGGTCTGATCATCTCCAGAGACTCTCTTCACCCCACCCCCAACCCCTCTCTCTGAGGTCCATGTTCATGTTGCCCTCTTGCGGCAACTCCCTTAGGCCAGGATGGACGACGCCGCTCCTGGCCAAGATGGAGATACATCGGACTCGTCGTCCAAGAATACGCCCGCTGTTGTCGAGATCTCACCTCGAGGCGAGGTGGTCCTGGACGTGAGCTTTGAGACGTCCAAAGAGACCATCCGCACGGCGAAAAAGGCCCACCAGGCTGCCGCGAGGAAGCCAGGGGCGCTGCGGATTCCCGAGCCAAACTTCAGTCCCTTGTTCAAGGTGGCCTTCCGAGTGGAGCTTGCCGTCTTGCAGAGACACTCCAAGTACTTTGAGAACCTGCTGGGCAACACCCAGTTTGCCGAAGCGAGGCTTGTCCAGGAGTCGCTGGCCAACCTCACCATGGAACAACGTGCATCAGAGGACACTGACCTGACAACTCTGCCGTGGATCACCATTACCGACGACGATGAGGCCACACGCTCCATCGGCCGTGACAAGGTCTTCGGAGACATGCTGAGGATACTCCACGGACAGCCCGTGCAGACGCCGGCAACATCGATCAACATGCTCTTTGTCACGACATTGGCCATTCTTGCAGATCGCTTCGATTGCCGGACCGTCATCGCGCGGTCTCTGAGCTCGAGTCTGAAGCTCAAGTGGCCCAAGACGAGCAACAGAGCGTTGAGAGCCGACAGTGGCAAGAGTGCTCTGGGAACAGAGCAGGTGTTGCGCCAGAAGATCCTCGTCTCCTGGCTCCTCGACCAGCCGATGAAGCTGCACGACGCCACACGCGAGATCATCCTACGCGGGTCCTCTCACTGGAGTGCCCTCGTATCCTACGATGAGCTACCCAGCACAGAAGCCTGGTGGAACCTGCCAGATGATCTTGAACGTAGGTTGCCTTTTGATCTAGCTCAGTAAAGTAAGCTTGTGCTAGACGAACATGATCTGACAAGACCACCAGGCGAACTCCAGCACCGTCGCGAGGCAATCCTCAACACCATCGCCTCCGTCCAGCGGCACTTCCTCGCCCTCTACTCTTCCCGCGATCGCCAGTGCAAGCTCGGCTACGACTCGTCCTCGGCATGCGACTCGTTCCAGCTCGGCCAGATGCTCAAGTTCCTCACGAGCAAAGACCTCCTGCGCCCCGTCGACTTTGGCCCCAGCTCGCTCGAGGCCCTCCCCGACGCCGCAACCCTCGACGTCGACGACCTGCTCGGCACCCTGAAACAGAGCCCCAGCTACCAGGTCGACAAGAACCACACCAACTGCGGCCTGCGCACGCGCCTCGACCCCATTGTCGACTTTATCCGCGCCATGCTGTCGACCGAAGTCGTCGGCATCCGCGGCGCCGAGTGGCGGAGAGACCGCGCCGCGAGTTCGTGGGCGCGGGCGGCGGAGGAGCGCGCGGCCGCGCCGCACGGGGCCGAGGACAGGAAGTTTGCGTTCACGCGGGGCATGGCGGGCGATCAGCGGCTGCGGTATGAGGGAAACATGTACGCGGATAAGATGGCGCGGAGCCTCTTCACGGCCGACGCATGGGATTGGAGCCCGGAGTATTAAACCGGGGGGCTCTGCGGAGGTTTCCCCTTACGCAAATGTTAAGATGGCGTCCACACGGGCTGGTGCGGGTCATTCAACGACTGTCCCGTTGGCACTGGGCAGGACGAGCACCTGCGCGGTGAGAACGTAGACGAACAGCTGTCAATCTTGGAATAAAATGTCACGAATGATGATCCTACAACCAATAGATCAAAAATAAGCGTCTTGGACAGGTGATCAAGTTATTAGTAGCGACAGGACCCCTTACCTTGCATCCCAAGACAAGCTCTTCACCGACGCCTCTAGGGAGGTCAGGGGAAGCCGCCATGGCCTGGATACGAGCGAGGCAAGGGAACCGGCGAGCTTAAGCCACCCAAGCACCCCTTGACCATGCTCTCCAGATCCGCGTGACTCGCGTGAGGTGACAGTAGAGCTGTGGAGCCTATTCTCTTTTTTTATTTTTTTTTATTTTTCCCGAGACCTCAATGCAACTTTGATTTCTCAGTACACAGCCTTGTAGGGCGAGATGCCGGCTGCTGACCCCCCGAAAAGAGAGATACTCACGTATCCTGCATACCGAATGATGGCAAGTTCGCGGCGGAAAGGGACTTTTTCTCAAGGTTCATATAAACGAAATAAGAAAAAAGTGCAATTTGCTTGGTCTATCTAAATGTACAACGAAGCTTCCCGACTCCATATTAGACCGACCCCTCCACTTTCTCTTGGGAGGGTCATGCGGTTGGCCATCTGATCCGGCCGCTTGCTCGAACCTCTCACGCATCATGATGGGCCACGTTGGGAACCATGGCCGCACGCCTCCCAGGCGTTGAGAAGAAGGGGACCAATGCCGAGACAGTACATCCCGACCCGGCGCTGCCGGTCGCTGTTCTGACGACGTCCGGTCCCCCTCTTCTTTTATTCCAATGTGTGCGCAGCTCCTTCGTGAATCAAAAGCCCCCCGAGTCTTTCCAGATAGGTCTGGCCTGGGACTCATCAGGCAACGCCGACCTTTCCAAACCTTGCGAGCCATCGAGAACCTCCCGCTCCGGCAGGGCAAGGCCCTTCCCATGATCCGATGATGTGAAACTCAAAAGGAGCGAAATCCTCCTCCTATTTTTTTTTCTCTTGCCTTCCTCGCAACCCCCTCGCCCCAGCCGGTCGGCACGCAAAAGTTAAGAAAAGCGTAGAGCCGAAATATGTGCAGTAAAGTTTGTAGACGTGAATAGAAAAGAGGAGACATAGCCACTGCGAAGCAGAAGAAGAAGGAGAAGAAGATAGAAGATACATCAAGTCGCAGGCCGCGTCAAAGCAACTCAGGCTGTCTTCTTCTTCTTGGGGAGGCCCTGCTCCCGCCTAACCTGCAGGTCGCCCTCGGCAAGCCACTTGCTCGCGTTGACGAGCTGGACGACGTTGATGAACTGCTTGGCGGCCATGACGGGGAAGCTGACGCCGGTGAGGACCCAGGGCCAGAACGAGTCCATCTTGTTGGCGCGGGCAAGCTCGAGCGCGGCGGCGCTGTAGGGGTTCGTGAAGATGGCGCTCAGGAGCGACGTGTTGACCTGGGCGCCGGCCTGGATCTGGGCGGCACCCGTCTCGCCGACGCTCTTGAGCAGAGAGGGGGAGAGGAGCGGCGACGAGAAGGAGAGGAGGTACAAGGCGATGAAGAAGAGCTCGTTGAGGGCGCAGAAGACGAAGAGGACGGTCTGTTGGGTGGGGAAAGGGGACTCGTTAGCGGGCTGCGCGTGTTGCGTGCAAGGGGGAGGGGACAAAACATACCTTGTTGGTGTAGTAGAGGTTCAGCATCCAGTTGCGCTCCTTGTCGACATTCTTGTGGCTGGTGCCGGCGCCGCCCATGGTGAGCGAGGCGTACATGTGCATGTAGTGGCTGGCAAAGTCGAGGGTGATGAGGAGCTGGAAGACGATGGTCCAGCGGGGGAAGGCGCAGGCCAGGAACATGAGGAGGCAGGATGTCGTGCACCTGTCGGTGACCATGTCGAGCACGGCGCCGAAGCGTGTCGACTGGTCGAAGATGCGAGCCGCGTACCCATCGAGGGCGTCGAGGAGACAGGAGACGCTGTAGAGGAGGGAGCAGGTTCGCGGGTGGAGCGGCATGTAGTAGAGCGAGGCGATGGCGAGGACGATGCGAACGTAGCCTTAGGTTTCGGCGTCAGCATTACTGGCGAGGACGTGGACAGCCGAGGTCGGCTGCCGAAAATCATGATACGAACCGATAATGTTGGGATAGAAGACGAAAATGTTCTCTTCCTCGGCTACCGCAGTAGAAGCGGCCGCGGCGGCGGTGCCATTGCTGCTGGATTTGGCGCTGGCGTTGCCATTGCCGTTGCCGTTGATCAGAGGCTGCTGCTCCGGAGAGGCCTTGCGCGAGACCTTGGACGAGCTGGAACTGGATTTCTTCGAGGATCGGGTTGACGAGGACATGATGCCAGATTTGATTGTGGGCGTGGTAGGGAGCAAGCAAGAGTTCTTCTTGATTTGGTGCGTGTCTCTGGAGGCGCGATACCGTTGAGGGTCAACGCTGAGGTGTCGGTCGGTTGAGGGACGAGAAGGGGGTTTTGCGACGGAGGGCTCGGATGGGCACGATAGCTCCGATAAGATGATCCGTTCTGTGGTGATCGGCGCGCGTCGAGTGGCGGCAGGATTGGGCGAGGAGGAAAAGGAGGGCGTCAGGGGTTGTAGACGGGACGAGATGGCGCGGGGATCTGTCGAGATTCGTCAAGCGGAATACGTTGTTGAACAGAAAAAGGAGTGTTGACGCGAGGATGAGATTCGAAAAATGGAGAGAGATGCGGCCACGACAGCATGGGTGTTTAATTATTGGATAACCTATCTTGGCTCTCTCTCGCCCTCTGTTTTTTTGGGTAGGGTCGGACCTGTCATGGACCCGACAGCTGGGCTGCTTGTTAGGTCTTGCTAGGGTGCTAGTAGTACTTGTAGGCTGCTGGGTGGTGCATGGCCCTGAGCACCTAGGGGCTGTCACTGACACAGCACGGCGGGCACCATGAACTGCCCGGGAAGGTGCTAGATAAGGAGACGAGATAAGAAACCCGATTATGGACCTTCGATGATAAGCCCGGTGTCGGTGCCGATGCTGTGTTGACGGAGTCCCCACCCAGCTTGGCTGAGTCAGCATCCGCGATGTGTATCCAGCGGGCGGCAACAGGCTTCCTGCTCTCTCTTCTCCCCGAAATCCAGTTGGGACTCTTGGCTGCTGCCGTTGGGCTTTGGCCAGCTACTAAAAGAGCTACTAAAGAGCGTGCGACTAAACGTTAAATGGGCCTGCGCGTCTGGCTTGGCTGGCCATCCTGCAACGTACATGCAGCAGCTGTGTTGATTGTGGGCATAATATTCGAGCAGGACGATCCTCGACGTCTACTGTGCCCTGAATGAACCGACGGGTACAAGCTATATCGAAGAATTCCCCCATCTCGACCAGGACAGCCTGCCGATTACCAACCCACAAATCAACCCTCTTGTCCCATAGTGTTTTATCTCCCATCCCTATCTGGGCAGGCAACGTATGCCCATCTCAAGTTGACCGGCCTAGCACCTTCGGGACATGTTGCTCCTGCGGCCCGAACGTTTTGAGTTGGAGAAGGCAGGCTTGCTGTTTGGGCATCGGCATGAGCTAGCCCTTTGAACAGCTTAACCACCCTGGCAGTCGACCTGCATCGCAGAAGAACGATGCACATGCCGACTCAGGTACAACGCCACGGCTGCGGCCAACAACGACCTACTTAACCGCCTCGGCGCACAAGGTTTGTTTGCAATCCAGCGCTGTCCACCTGCCTCACTGCAGAGGACAGCGAGGGACGCCAGAAAATGGAGGGGGCACAGCACGAAGCCACCAACCGCCAAACAGTTCGTCGAGTTGATGCTCGGCACATCAACACTGCAGGAGTCAGGATCCCTGGGTGCCTTAGTTCTGACGCTATCCAACAGACATGGCCCTTGTCGCATCGGCCCGCCCGGAGCACCTAGCATGGTGCTTTGATAGATGGCGTCTGGTTCCGGGCGAACTGACATGTCATCGAA